TAGTCTTAGCGCAGCTTGGGGATTAAATTTGGTGGTGACTGGGTGAGGCTTCTGACAGAGCCATAGAAGTAGAGTGGGCTTATTCTTGCCCAGGTCAGCTAGCTTGGTACTGGGACAGGGTGGGGGGCCTGGACTGGGCTGCCCTACCCTCCTCTGCATGCTGTGCCCTAGGAGGAGCCCTAGAAACTCTGATTTGAAAGCAACAATAGAGATCATTTTCCTTTATATGTTCCTAGCATAAAACTATTTGTAAAACGATTTGAAGTATAGTTTTGTTACCTAAGCAACTCTTTTTTTTGGGGGGGGGAGGGAGTGTTTATTTAAGTGTACTAAAATGTAAAACCTATATGGCTCAGATTTTCAAAACCTGGTACAGTATCATATTTGCCTCGCCTGATGCACTATATTACAATCTGTAATTAAAATAATATGTTTGCTCTGTGGTTTTTTATTTTTTTAAAATGTTTTTACTGATTTCAGAGAACGGAAGGGAGAGAGATAGAAACATCAATGATGAGAGAGTCATTGATCGGCTGCCTCCTGCATGTCCCCTCCCCGTGCTGGGGATCAAGCTGGCAACCCGGGCACGTGCCCCAACCAGGAATCGAACCTTGATCTCCTAGATCATAGGTCAGTGCAACTCCTGAGCCACGCCAGCCAGGCTATGGTTTCTTTTTTAAAGTATTTTGGTAGATTTTTCCCTTGGGGAAAATGAGTAATGGTAAATATTCAACACATGTTATTTTATTATGTGCCAAGCACAGTATATGTAAAGTACCTTTACATGATTTAATTCATTTACTAAATCGTAAATGCAGTTTATCATAAGTCTTCACTGTTTTGGCTGAAATGGGTAAGTACTGTGATTTAAAAATCTGAAATACTCCTTGACCTTGACCTTGAGAAAATGTTAAGGACACAGGAAAGGACTGGGGAAACCTGAGAATCAGGTGTAGCTCTGAGGAGGCAGGGCTGTCTTTCCAGGCCACAAGTCCTGGGGCCTAAAATGGGGTGGACTTCTAAGAAGCTCCAGAGTCCCCACACCAAGTCTACAGAAGGAATGCTGGCCTTCTGGGGGGATATATGGGCTTGGATGAAACCATGGCCCCCCCTGAGGGTCACCCTTCTTAAATGGTCCTGGGGTTCTTGTCCCTCTCCACAGAGCAGTCACAGTAGCTGTAGTCCTTAGCAATAACATCTGAGTAGCAGGGCTGCGAGGACCACTGTGCAAGGTCTCAGCTGGCCATGCAGAACCTCTGCACTGAAGTCACTTGGTGGGTTTGAAGACAGTGCTGTTTTACTACAAGAACAAAAATGACACCCACCTCAATGTGAAAACCCTCCTAGTGTCTACCACATCTTGCTTACGCTGAAATGTCAGGCTGTCTTTTCAGTCTGTAAGCCAAGCTGCAGGGTCATGACAAGAGCACACTTTATTACGAACAGGCCATTCCACACATAGCAGCAGAGTGGCAGGATGCA